GGGTGTTTTAACGGCCTCCCCTTTTGCAGAGACATAGACTAAGTACATTCCTTCCTCTTGGTTCTGCTTATAATAGTTATAGAAGGCAAATGCGCATAAGCACCCATAGGAGTCTATTAACCTACTGGCTTTATACTTGGCCAGTCTAACGGTCCTCCGATTAGGCAACTCGTGCTTCAACACCTTCTTGTCCCAATCGAACTGGGCTTGTCAACCTCAAGGTAGTACATGCCCAATAACATGTCAAAGGGCAACTCGTCGCTCACCATGAATGATATCTTATGGTTTATCTCTCCTCCTGGGTAGGAGAAGGTGCAAACTACATCTTTAACGTAGTCCTCCACCATCATGCGCTCTTTGTTGGCCAAAGTAGATGCTACCGGTCTACTAAGGCGCTGCACCCGGTCCTTTAGGCACAGTCTGTCAACGCAGTCGCGACTTATGAAGTTTCGCGTGAAGCCAATGTCTACGAAGGCGCCGCACTTGCTACCACCCACACCAACTTCCACAACGAAGTGCTCCCCTCTAGGACCTCTACTCAGTGTCACCCAGGACTCACGGGGGTCCCTTGCGGATCACTCACCTTGAAGGTCCTCTAAGGCTTCAGACACATCCAACATACAGAGCATAGTTGGGTCCGGATGCGTGTGCGGGGTGACCAAGGAGTCAATAGCTTTGGCCAACTCTTGAACCGGGGAGGGTACATCACCCGCTTCAACGAGAGTAGAAGCAGCTACATCTTCTACCGGCCGTAAGTGTTTCCTGAGTTGAAGCTCGTAGAGGCCCCAGACTAAGAAGAAGCAAACCTACCCTTCGGAGGGATCTTCTGCGAGACCTTCGGGTTCTTACACTTAAACTGCGTATGGCCGTACTCGCCACAGTTTATGCAAGCACCTCGCGACCAACGATCTCGCCACACTTCCTGATCCAAGCCTACTCTAACCCAAGCAACTATCTTGTTTGGGTTAGCGGCCTGCCCCTGACTCCTTTGCTGACCGCCCTTGCCGCGACCTGCTGCCTTAGTCTTAACTACTGCGGCAAAGTTGCTACCCTCAGCACTCTCCTCGCCGTCTAACTCTGCACCCTCCACAAGTTCAGAAGCATCATCGATTTCAGTTTGATTCCCTTCGGAATCAACCATCATCAATCGACTACCCTTCTTCTTCCATTCTTGTGGAGTCTTCTTCCTCCTCCCATCCGTAGAAGGGGTTTGAGCACTACCCAGCGTAGCCTCTAAGTCTAGGGCCTTCTTGCTGAATGTCTCAAAGGTATGATACTCTCCACGAGCCTCACTGGCTTATAAGTTCTTGATGTCTGTGGGAAGACATCTCAAGAACGTGGTCAGCAAGACCTGTGGATTGTACTCCACTCCTGGGACGACAATCAGGCGTTCTACGGTCGTGGTAAGCTCTCTCACTGACTTGTACTACCGAGCATCAAGTTTCAGTAGCCCATCGGTGGCAATCTGTGCCTGCTGAGGGTTGTGCCATTGAGCCTCCACTAAGTCCATAAAACTCTCTAGGGTGTGGGTCTGCGCCCAATCACCCATATTCCTGCCGAAACCCTTTGAAGCAACCAATCCATTAAGCCAACGAGTTGCTGAACCTTCTAAGTAGGATGCTGCAGTTATCACTTCCTCTTCTACCAATGTCCTCTTTGCCCTCACCCAGACTGGAACCGTTCTCAACCACATGTCGAGAGCCTCATCCTTCTTGTCTCCTGAGAAGGTTGGAGGTGGTTTCAGAGGGGTCTTGGGATACCAAGGAAATTGTTGTCCCCCTGGCGAGACAGGTGGCGACTGTGGTGTAGCACCAGTCGCTGGACCGGAAGATGAAGAAGCAATAGTCTGAGATAGGGTTGCTGCTAATGTACCACTTGGTGGTGGTCCGGACTAAGCGGCATAGGGGCCTGTCATCGCTGAGAATGGCAGCGACGACAAGACTACTGGCCTGAATCCTGGCTTGTGCATGGCATTCAGGATCTGGTCCAAGGTGTCCCGGATTGTATCCAGTTTACTGTCCATGTATGCATGCATGAACAAGATGCTCGCCTTAAGAATCTTTTAATTATTACTAAGAGTCGAGTCATCTAACCCCTCTAATGCAGCCTTATCCGCCTCCCTACCCTTTAGTCTGACACTTTTGTCTCTAATCTCTTTCTCTCTCATAGTAGCCTGTCTGAGTTCCTCCTCTATCCTTAAGCGAATCCTCTCTACCTTTTGGAGCTCCATCTGCTCCTGGGTGCATGGAGGTGGCGAGCTAAACTGCGAACCCGCCATCTGACTAGTGCCAACTCCTGACGTACTGGAGATGGATTGTGAACTAGTTGCATGACCAGTAGAGTTTGCAGCAGAAGTGGCTGAAGAGGTAGCCATTGCTACCGCGCTAGCTGCTGCTGCTGCTAATGCACGTTCAGCCGCTGCTGCTGCCTATCTCGCAGTCTCTAGATTGCGGGCCCTTGTCTTGGCCCTAAGCCTTCTCTCGTCTCCTGGTAGTAGAACCTGGAACACAACGAGTATCCTAATGGTATCCCGTCGTGTCTTCCTCCTATCGTCAGATCTATCCTCCCCACCCTATGATCCGCTCATGGGCTAGGCAGACGCTGTCTGCACTAATGTCCTCTTTGGGACCTACCGCAACATACGTCTGACCAGTTTTAAAAATAAATAAGATGATAAGCCGGCGAGTTTCCCTAGACTACTAGTCAAGCGGCATCAACAACACCTACACAAACCGTACACATGTAGTCTACCTCTATCTTTGATTAGTTCTGCATAGAAGCTTTAAGAAGAACTGACTGTGGTAGATTACAATCCTACTCTAAGCTATCTGTTAGGTGTTAGCAGTCTGTCAACCAACTAATCAAGATAAAAATAAATGATAGTGAGCAGATGTATGCACAATGGATAATATAGTGATGAACAGTTTGAGTTCACAATTGGAATCCCCTTCCCCTGTATCCAACGTACCTGTGAGCAGCATCAAGTTGTGGTGTCTAAGGTGTGCAACCACGGCCCACCCCTGTGCCCAAGAAGTATGCTTATGACCAGCCTGCCCTTTATTTACCCTCGCGTGCAACGAGCCTTACGTCTGACTGATCTGGCTGATCAAGAGGCAATTTAAGGACAGCCCCCGAGAGTCCTCAAGAATTCTTTAACGTTGCAATCAGGACGACGATCACAGCCAGTGGACAGTTCAGACCCCAACCCGAAATGTTTATAGACGGTCTGGGAGCGTCTACGTAGGACTGGTCAGTCCGCACACCCCTTCTATCAGCGCAGCAAAGAGCCCCAATGGACAAAGCAGCATGGCCTGCATGTACTAATACCCATGGATTGGCATGGTGAACGTGACCTGTACTTCGGCCAGGGCCCTTCAGAGGCACCGGCCTCTCCTGCCACATGCGCCACCGGGAAGAATGTCGTCTCTCAAGATAGAGCGCACACGACTCCTTTCAAAAGAGAGGACACTCAAGTTGGACTCACTTCCTCACGGTAAGAAGAGATTGAGAGGGTAGATAAGGAATGGGAACAACGTACCTGGAGATAGCTGCCCCCAACCACAAATTTCTCACCAATTGGGCCGACGTGCATTTCGATGACCGGTCATTAGCCTCAGTACCACCCACAACGCAATGCAGTGCCACCTCAGCCAAAATGCCACGTCATCATACTCTCATCATCATGCATACACCTGCTGTTGCCACAACTCCCACGCTGTCGCCACAGCCTTCCAGTGGCCGGCCTCTCCACCTAGGCCTCGCTAATCAACCAGCGCCAAAGTATCCTTACTGCACATGAAGCATCGTCAGCGCACCAAGTCACAATGTCGCCGGTGCCAGGTAAACGGCGATCACCAACCAGCTCCGATTCCAAATTGCAAGGAATATGAGTGTGAGTGATATACATAAAACCAAGTTGCGAAATCACACAACTGACCAAGTAGTCGTGTCCCAAGCAGAGAGTGCAAATGCACCGAGAATACCATTCATATAGAGCAATACAATGAAGTAATGAGCCAATGTTCAAGCCCGTAGGCCACACCAACACAGTATCCAAAGCCGCTCTGCTCTGTCCGGCGCCCAGCGCTCAGCCTACCTTACCAGACTATCCTACCTACAGCTGGTTCACACAACAGGATCACTTCGACTCACGAAGACCAATGTGCATGACTGCCAACACCATCGCCGACCTCTCTTCATGTACCAGGTACGTATCTCGCCACCCTCAATCAGACCTTGATTACCCCACACAGTGCCTCCTTCCCTGAAGACCACCTGATCATCCGTTGTACACCCTGGCGCCCAGCAGCCCGGCTATGGCTGCCAGCGCCCCACTGCCCTGCAGCGCCCCACTACACCTCTTGCCCCCCGTCAGCGCCCTTGGCAGCAGCGCAGCATCAAGCGAGAGTGCAACAGCACTTCCGCATTGCCAGCACTGGCCAGAATGCCTGGCCTGGGCTGCCTCATTCCTTTTGTGGAAGTGGCAGCCTCCTGGATACTGCGTGTGGCCTGGCTGGAAGCTTCCAGTAGCTTCTGGTTGGGTCCCAGACCCTGCGCCCAGGCCCGAGACTACAATTGAGGGCCTGGGCCCTTCGCAGTTAGGCACGGCCTGAGTCTCCGGACTTGGGCTGTTTGCTGCATCTGTGCAGGGCTCCCAGGCAGGTGCGTCGGCACTACTGCTTTTGCAAAGGCCGAAGGCCTGCTTCCCAATGTATTGGCCCTGTTTTGTGTATGTGTGCCCAAGCGCAACTGTCAAGGCCTGGGCCAACTGCATGACGCAACAATGTGAGGCTCACGCGTCTTCCCAACCAACTGGCGTGCTGCGAGAGCCTGAATACCCAC